TCTCTCTCTCTCTCTCTCTCTCTCTCCCTCTCTCTCTCTCTTTCTCTCTCTCTCTTTCTCTCTCTCTCTTTCTCTCTCTCTCTCGTCTGCGGTCTGTCTCATCTCTCTAGAATGATCTCATCCACTGAGTAGAGAAGCTCATCAAAGTCTCCAACAGAGCCCCCCTTTCCCTGAGTATATTGAAGGGTTGAGATTCGCTCAGTCCCAGTGGGTGGTTGGCGGGTGCTCTGGTGTGATTTGCCCCTTCTTTCCTTTTCTCTGCTCGCATTTTTTTAGGTGGATGTTTGTTTCTCTCTAGTATCATCTGTAATCCTTGGCCCCCTTATGACCTAATTGTGTTGTAAGTGCCGTAAAACTCTTATTAAAACTATCTCACTCCCGACATTCCTTTCTCCAAACTGTCAGAAGCCTATTGGTTAGGCTACTAGGCTTGTGAACGGGAGATTGCGGATTTGGGGGTTCGAGCCTCAGTTCAGTCGGACGTTGTATCCTTGTGAAAGGCACTTTACACGAATTTCCTATTTGGTTTGATCTGTCCTTTCAGAGATGGACGTTAGACTCGGAGGTCCCGCCTCTTAAATAACCTATTAGCGTTGTCAGGGGCGTGAAACCTGTACAATTTCACCAAAATTCTAATCTTCGGCATCTTTATGGTCTAATTCTGTTACAAGTGAGGTAAAACTCTCACTAAAACTAGCTCACTCCCGACATTCCTCTGTACAAACTTGTCGACGCCCGAATCTCAAAGATAGTCATTCCGTGAGAACCTTTAGTAATGTGTCTTGTGTCGGCTAACTTTCAGAGTCGTGCATGTGGGTGGTTGGCGGGTCATTCCGTGAGAACCTTTAGTAATGTGTCTTGTATCGGCTAACTTTCAGAGTCGTGCATGTGGGTGGTTGGCAGGTCATTCCGTGAGAACCTTTAGTAATGTGTCTTGTGTCGGCTAACTTTCAGAGTCGTGCATGTGGGTGGTTGGCGGGTGCTCTGGTGTGGTTTGCTCCTTCTTTCCTATCAAGCATCTCTCGTCCTGATCTCTGCAGTTGCGAGCGCCGTAAAACCCTCTATTAAGAAAATAAAAGATCTCTCCTCCTTCTTTTTTTTAGTTAGTTACTCCTTTGTAACACATCTAATCTTCGGCATTTATATGACCTTATTGTGTTGCAAGTGCCGTAATGTGCTGCTAGGCCACATCACATATCATTGTCGTCAATGGTTTTATCCGATTCGTTTGATGACAATGTTATTTCTGCGTGTGATAAGTCGGTGTTCTCGTGTGGTTCGTTCCTACTTTTTTTTCTATTGAACATCTGTTGTCCTTATTTACTTCTTCTTTTTTTATATTTTTGTTACTCTCTTGTAACACCTCTAATCTTTGGCGCAGTGTGACCTTATTGATTGTGTGTTGCAAGCGTCGTAAAAAGTTTTCTAAAAAGTTGTTACCGAAACAGTATGCTTACATGGGCTTGTTGTAAAGTTTTTGGTGTTTTTTGTTTGTTTTTGTGTGTGTGGTTTTTCTCCCTTCTTTTGTCAAATTAATCTTAACATTTTTTTCCAACAAATTCAAACTTCCTGAATGACCACGTAGGCCTCATATAAACGGACGTTCACGAAGTCTGTAATGAGCCAAGTGGCATCACCCATTGCCACTTAAAACACCCCCCCCCAACCCCCGCTCCATTTTGTGGGTGGTTAGGTGTGCTCTGGTGTGGTTTGTTCCTTCTTTTTTTATCGAACGACTATCGTCCAATATCTCTCCTCCTGGGTCTTCTTTTCTATCAAACATGTGTAGCCGTAATCTTTCTTCCTGTTTTGTGTTTGTTACTCTCTTGAAACATTTCTAATTTGTGGCCTTAAAATTTATGACTTAATTAAAATACAAGTGGCGTAAAACGCTTACCAAAGCAAAACCAGAGCTCAAATAATATGGTTGTGGCTGCTGTGTGTGTTTAATTTTGTGGGTTTTTGTTCCTCGACTTCTTACTGACCTATTATCAGGCCATGGCAGGATTATTGTATCGACTCCTGGTCACCAAAAGCGAAATCAAGAAAGCCACTTTGAAACCAAAGTGACGATAATTATTGCCATATCTACTGGTATGGTCTTTTGTTTAGTCTTCCCCCGCACTTTTAGATTGAATTTGCTACTGAAAATCATTGTGATCTCATATGTACCACCTATTTAAGAGTTGCAAATGCGTTTTGCCAAAAGTAGGAATAAGTATTAGCACAAATTAGGAATAAGTTAAGTATTACAAGTGAGATGTTTTCTCGATTATTTTGGCGGGTACACACATATGAGTTCTGGGTTTATTTTCCTTCACAACACAGTGGCACCGTCTTCAACAAGAAGTGTCGTCAATCAACAAAGTATGTTCCTTTAGTGGGGGAAGCTTTGCGGCCCTGGGCCTATCTCTATCTCTGGCTCTTGTCTCTCGCTTTGATTGCCCTGTCAAACAAGTCAGCCATCGTCTGTAGGAGGTTGGTGGGTTCTCTGATGTGCTCCTTCTTTCTTATCAAAATCTATCGTCTTTATCTCCTTTCCTTCTTTTTTGTGTTTGTTACTCCCTTGTAACACCTCTAATCATCGGCACTTATATGACCTTATTGTGTTGCAATTAAGTGCCGTAAAACTCTAATGAAAAAAAAAGTGAGCTTTCTCATCTACTCTCAGTTTTTCTGACCACTCTATTCATCTCCATTGTTATCCTGATGTATTCCTGGCGTTATACCGCCGTTATCCAATCCACTCTTCCCGAACGTCACCTCAACACAAACTATTGTGACCCCTCCCCTTTTCAATTTCTCTTCCCTTCACTCTAGCCCCCCCC